AGAAATAAATGTCTACATTTGAAAAGAAGATCTCAAATTAATAGCTTAATTCTACAACTTGAGGAACCAGAAAAAGAAGAGCAAATTGAACCAAAAGCTACCAGAGGAAAGTAAGTAACAAAGACCAGAGCAGAAATAAATGAAATAGAGAATAGAAAAACAATAGAGAGAATAAACAAATCCAAAAGTGGGTCCTTTGAAAAGGTTAATAAAATTAATAAACCTTTAGCTAGGCTGACGTAGGGAAAAAAAAGAGAGAGAGAGAGAGAGAGAGAAATAGAAGATGTAAATAAACAAAATAAGATATGAAAGTGGAGTATAAGACCACTATTATAAGAACTCAAGAAAAGGTTTAAACACAGAAGACAACGTTCTTTGATGGTTACGAGGGTAGGGAGGGATGGTGGGGGTTATTCACTAACTAGATAGTAGACAAGTTTTACCTTAGGTGAAGGGAAGGACAGCACACACTACAGGGGAAGTCAGCACAACCGGACTAAACAAAAGCTAAGAAGTTTCCTGAATACAATCAAACACTTTGAGGAACAGAGTAGCAAGGGTAGGGATCTGGGGACCATGCTTTCAGGGGACATTTAGGTCAATTGGCACAACATAGTTTATTAAGAAAATGTTCTGCATCCTACTTTGGTGAGTGGAGTTTGGGGTCTTAAAAGCTTGCAAGCGGCCATCTAAGGTGTATCAATTGGTCTCAACTACCTGAAGTAAAGGAGAATGAAGAACACCAAAGACACAAGGAAAGTATTAGTCCAAGAGACAGAAAGGGCCACATAAACCAGAGACTGCATCAGCCTGAGACCAGAAGAACTAGATGGTGCCCGGCTACCACCAATGACTGCCCTGACAGGGAACACAAAAGACAGTCCCTGATGGAGCAGGAGAAAGGTGGGCTGCAGAACTCCAATTCTAGTAAGAAGACCATACTTAATGGTCTGAATGAGACTGGAAGAACCCCGGAAAGCATGACCCCCGGATTCTCAGCCCAGAACTAAAACTCTTCAGACAGGGATTGGACTGGACTGTGGGGCATAAAGTGATACTCGTGAGGAGTGTGCCTCTTAGCTCAAGTAGATACAAGAGACTAAACGGGCAGCTTCTGTCTGTAGGTGAGATGGGAAGGCAGAGAGGGTTAGGAGCTGGCTGAATGGACATGGGGAATCAGGAGTGGAAAGGAGGAGTGTACTGTCACAGTATGGGGGGAGCAATTAGGGTCACATAACAATGTATGTATAAATTTTTGTATGGGAGACTAACTTGAAATGTAAACTTCATCTATAAAAAAAAATATGAAAGTGGAGACATTACAACTTAACCAATAGAAGTAAAAAGAATCATAACAGAATGCTATGAGCAATACTCCAACAAACTTGATAACTTTCATGAAGAGGACTGTCTTAGTCATCTAGTGCTGCTCTAACAGAAGTACCACAAGTGGATGGCTTTAACAAAGAGAAATTTATTTCTTCACAGTCAAGTAGGCTAGAAGTCCAAATTCAGGGTGTCAGCTCCAGGGGAAGGTTTTCTCTCTCTGTCGGCCTTCTCATCAGTGTTCCCCTGGACTAGGAGCTTCTCTGCTCAGGGACCTGGGTCCAAATGATGCGCTCTGCTCCCGGCACTGCTTTGTTGATGGTATGAGGTCCCCCTGTCTCTCTGCTCACTTCTCTCTTTTATATCTCAAGAGATTGCCTCAGGACACAATCCAGTCTTGTAGATCAGGTCCTGCCTTACTAAGACAACTGCCACCCATCCTCCCTCATTAACATCATAGAGGCAGGTTTACAACATACAGGAAAATCACACAGTACCAGGAATCATGACCTAGCCAAATTGATATACACATTTTTTGGGGGGATGTAATTCATACCATGACATTCCACCCTTTGGCCCCCCAAAAATCACATCCTTGCAACATGGAAAACATATTCACCCCATCATATCATAGCAAAAGTCTTAACTCCAATTCCAAAATCCAGAAATTCCTCTTCATCTGTGAAATCTAGAATACAAGTTATCTGCTTCCAAAGGTACAATGACAGAACAGGCACAAGCTAGACATTTCCATTACAAATGGGAGAAACTGCAGGGAAAGAAGGAATAACAGGCACCAAGCAAGTCAGCAGAACACATTACGTTAGCCCTCAAGGCTTTGAAAATAATCCTCTGTTCTCGGAGACGATTTACACAATAGCCCTGTCTTCCAGACTCTAGGTATTGGCCACAGTCTCTGGATTTTGAGTGGAGGCCCTTTGGCCCTGAACTTCAGCTCCGCCTTCCGGGCCCACTGGGACAGCAACTCTGCTCGCTTGGCTTTAGGTGCACCATTCTCCTAGTCCATCGGAGTGACAACTCCACCCTTAGAAACACCAGGGGCCATGGCTCCACCCTTTGAAATCCCTGAGGTCATGGCCATACCTTTTGAGGCTGAAGCAGCTCTGCTTCTTGTGTCCCTTGTCTCTTCAGCTTCTGCTTCCTATGGCCTCTCGGCCCTCAGGCCTCACGCCTGCGTCTGCCCTGCTGGGGCAAGTGTTCCAAAGCTCAGTACCTCCACCGGTATAAGTGCCCGGAGGCACGCCACTCTGCCAGGAAGCCTCCTGCACACAGGCACTGAGCTCCCTTGCTCCGTGGGTCGGCAAGCCTAGCTCCACTGATAAGTGCCTGGAGGCACCCCACTCCACCAGGAAGCTTTGTGCAAACAGGCACTCTGCTCTCTCTCTCCGTGGGTCGGCTCCAGTGCCGTCTTGCACTGGTCTCCTGGTTCTGCTGCTGTAGGTTCTCTGCTGCTGCTGGTCCTCTGTCACTGCCGCATGTCTATCCATTCACAGTTTTAAAACCACTTCCACATTTTAGGTATCTCTTAGAGCAGCACCCCACTCTCTCGGTACCAAATGACAAGGACAAATTCTTAGAAGCACACAACTTACCTAAACTGACTCAAGAGGAAGTAGAGAATCTCAACAGACATATAAAAATTGAAGAGATTGAATCAGTAATCAAAAACTTCCCAAAAAAATTTCCTGGACAAGATGGGTTCACTAGGGAATTCTATCAAACATTTAAAGAATAGTTGACACCAATCGTATTCAAACCCTCTCAAAATATAAGGAAGGAAGGAATACTTCTAAAACTCCTGAAACCCTGAAACAAAGACACTACAAGAAAAGAAAACCAGATACCAATATCCTTCATGAATATAGAAAGCAATAATCCTCAATAAAATACTAGTGAAAAGAATCCAACAGCATATGAAAAAAATTATGCATCATAACCAACTGGGATTTATTCATTCCAGAAATGCAAGGTTGGTCCAACATTAGAAAATCAATGTAACATTAATAGAAGAAAGAAAAAGAACCACATGATCATCTCAGTTGATGCAAAAGAAGCATTTGATAAAATCCAACACCCTTTCTTATTAAAAGCACTCACCAAGATAGGAATAGAAGGGAAGTTTCTCAATATGATTAAGGACATTTATGAAAAACCAACAGCCAACGTTATACTCAATGGAGAAAGTTTTGAGAACTTTGCCCCTGAAAACAGGAACAAGAAAAGGATGATTGCTCTCACCACTCCTATTCAGTATTGTACTGGAATCCCTAACCAGAGTAATAAGGCAAGGAAAAGAAATAAAACATATCCAAATCAGAAAGGAATAAGTAAAATTATCTCTATTCACAGATGACGTGATCCTATACATAGGAAATCTCAAAGAATCCACAAGAAAGCTTTCAAGACCTAACAGAGGAATTTAGCAAAGTTACAGGATACAAGGTCAACACACAAAAATCGTTTGTTTTTCTATACACGAACAATAAGAAATCTGAAAAGGAAATTAAGAAAACAAATCCATTTATAATAGCACCCCCAAAAATAACATACCTAGGAATAAATTTAAGCAAAGATGTGAAAGACTTATACAATGAAAACTATAAACCACTGCTGAAAGAGATTAAAGAAGACCTAAATAAATGGAAAGATGTTCATGTTCATGGATTGGAAGACTCAATATTGTTAAGATGTCAATACTACTCAAAATTATCTATAGATTCAATGCAATCCTGATCAAAATTCCAACAGCTTTCTTTACAGAAATGGAAAATTCTGTCCTCAGTTTTATATGGAATGACAAGAGATCCAGAATAACCAAAGCAATTTTGAAGAACAAATTAGGAGGACTCACACTCCTGGATTTCAAAACACACTATACAGCTACAGTAATTAAAAGTCTGGTACTATTATTATAATAATAGACATATAGACATACGGAACAGAATTGAGAGTCCAGAAATAAACCCACACATCTATGGTCAACTGATTTTTGTCAAGGGTGCTAAGTTCATTCAATGGGGAAGGAAGAGCCTTTTCAATAAATGGTGCTGAGAAAAATAAATTTTCACATGCAGAAGAATGAACCAGGGGCCTGATTCATTCTGTTTGCAAAAGTTTGTATAATGTTTTTGCCCCTTAAAATTATAAGAATCTCCAAATGACATAGGAAATTTGAACATATGTAATGGAAATATTTATTGATACTTAGATGTAAAAGAAGAGTTAAATAATGCCAAGATCAGCAAGGAAATATGGAAGCTTTAGCAAAATGATCATATTCAATACTATCGACAGTTGGGAAGAGAGGGTGCTCTCATATGTTGCCAGTGGGGGTGTGCATGTGTGCAATATTTAACACTGAGCAAAAGGCCTTTGACGCAGTCATTTCCTTATAGGAAAGCATTCTTAAGGAAAATCTGGAGACTGGTGACAGGCCAGGCTCAATACAAAAGGACTGGAGGCAGGAGGCGGGGCCACAAGGCATGAAAGGCGGGGCGGAAAATAAGAAGGTGGGCCTCCTCTGTGACGTTTGGAACTGTGCCAAAGGGTCTCAGTGAGACTAAGCCATTGGCGGGCCGTGGCAGGCGGCAGCAATGCCATGGCAGGGGAGCTTCTTGAACAATCTCCTTGAGGGGCTTTGAGAGCCTTCACCTATGGGGCCCTTGAGCAGCCGAGTCCTGCGAAGCAGGGAACCGGGCCCAGCCAATCCACAGCCAGAAGTCCAGGCGGGTCCCAGTCACATATCCGGAAATCGAAAGCGCAAGCAGAGCGGTGGGCCCTGCTTGGGCCAAAAGTCTGAGCAGAACAGCGACAGGTCTGTAGGCCAGGGGGAAGATCTACAGCAATTCGGCAGCACAAGCCACGGGAAAAAACTTAAGATCACATCCAAGTATACTTATCAAACTTTATTTTTGAATGGGGAAATGAGCGACATTAAGATCTATGCTCTGGGGAAAGTATGGTGTTTACACAAAATATTTTTATGTCAGTCAGGCTACTTTGCTAGTATGTTCAGAGATTCTAGGCAAGATTCTCACAAGGATATTATTGAGCTGGAGATTAATGACCAGAATATAGATGTAGAATCCCTGCATTTTGTACTAGGTTCATTGTACAGGGATGAATATGTCTTAATTGAGCCCCTTCAAGTTCCAGGAGTTTTGGCAACAGCATGCTTGCTTCAGGTAGAAGGATTAATTGAGCAGTGTAATGAAACCATGAAGGAAACAATTAATGTAAAAACTGTATGTGGCTATTATACAGCAGCAGAGACCTATGGGTTGGATTCCATAAAGGCAGGTTGCTTTGAATGGCTTCTTCACAACTTGATGACACATCCAAGTATTGAACTTTACAAAGAACTCAGTATAGATCTCATGAATCTGCTCATCTCTTCTTCTAATTTATTAGTAATGCAAAAGGAAATGGATGTGTACACCACACTTAAAGAGTGGATGTTCCTACGCCTCAACCCAGCTTGGAATGGCTCAATGAAACAGCTTTTAGTTAATGCAAACAACTGGTTTTCCAGCCAAAGGAGATGTGTTGGTAACACTGCCTTTCTTGAAACTGAACAAGGCATAGCCTTTCAACCAGTGTTTAAAAATTTGAGGTTTCAGCATATCATCTGTGACCTGGCCTCCACAAAAGTTATTGAACAAGATGCTCTAATGCCTTCAGAATGGTTATCATCTATTTACAAACAACAATGGCTTACCTTACTTAGGGCACAACAATACAGGGAAATTGGGCCTCGAGTCATCAATGAAACAGAACTTGAAGGATACAGCATGAGATGTGGTAAAAGGATTGTCAAGGATGGAAAATACTCCTGGAAGTGGTCAGGTTACAACTTTGGCTTTCCCTTACATGTCATCTTCACCAGCCATTATATAATTTTCAAGCAAAATATATTTAGTCGGCCATGTGAAGGTTCTGTCTGTTTACAACCTCTAAGAAATATCGCATTCAGATTAAGTTTGGTATATTTTGATTCTAGTGGAAAACTAAGTTTCAGTAAAACGACTGGCTATAAAATCCTTACCTTTGAAAATGATGAGGAACAAGTGGTAATGAAATTGGATAGCCTAGTTCTGAGCTTCCCTTTATATATATTCTGTAACTTCCTGTTTATATCATTAGAAAATCCAGGAAACTGATAATCTCAATTAGAACATACTAACATTTAAAAAACTTTTGATGCCTCATTTGATTTAATGGACCTACTGTTAAACACTGTAAGGTGACCAATAATAAAAATAATTTTATGAATATGGTAGCTAACACAAATGACTACACTTCATCATCATTTTATTTCTATGTATTTATGAAGAAAACTTTTAATTCCAAGAAAAATCTGTCAAACCAAATAGCCAATGATGCTGGCATCTTTTGCTTTTCACTTATTATCAACAGGCCAGCTCCAAATGGAAGTGAGAAATGAAAAACTATATTTCCAAAGAACTAAAAACAAATTAACTTGTTAGGTAAATTTGACCTTAACGAATGTTGAGACAAAATAAAGAATTCTCTGCCTTGTGGAAACAGTTGTGAAAATATGGCTTTAATTGTGGCAATATTGCAGAATCTCTTCCATCATCAGGTAAAATCTGAGATTAAGCACTCTGCTTTGTACTCTGTTATGTACAGTTTTAAATAGCCAGACAAATAATGTAAAGTTTTACAGCATTACATACTACAATTTAGTAGTATTTTACAACTAACTTAACACATGGCTCATTTTCTCTATGGTGTGAAGAACTTGTATTGCTGACTATTTGCTCAGAAAAATAAAATATTGTATAGATATCTTTATAGACAGATCAATATATATGCATATATGCACATGCACATTTATATGTTTTAAAGAACAGAGAATGATAATTTCTGAAATGACTGAACAAATAGGCTCTGTACGCTAAAATGGATTTCCATAAACACCAGTTATTCCTATGGATATCCAGATGTGAATAGTTTTTTTTTTTTTAATTGTACTTCAGGTGAAGGTTTACAGAACAAATAGTTTCTCATGAAACAGTAGTACACATATTGTTTTATGACATTGGTTAACAACCCCACGACATGTCAACCCTCTCCCTTCTCGACCTTTTTTCTTTTTTTGGTGAAAATATACATAGCCAAAGATACACCATTTTAAAAATTTCTACGTGCACAGTTCAGTGACATCGACTATGCTCTTCCAATTGTGCCGCTATTCTCACTTTAGATGAAGGTTTACAGAACAAAATAGTTTCTCATTAAACGTACACATGTTGGACCTATGACAATGGTTAACAACCTCACAAAACATCAACACTATCCTTACTCAACCTTGGGTTCCCTATCACCAGCTTTCCTGTCCTCTTCTGCCTTCTAGTCTTTGTCCCTGGACTGCTGTGCCTCATTAGTCCCATTTGGTTTTATGGGGCTGTCCACTCCCTGCCTGAACGGTGAACCTCAGACGTGACTTTACCACTGAGCTAAAAGGGTGTCTGGGGGCCATACTCTCGGGGTTTCTCCAGCCTCCTTTAGGCCAGGAAATCTGGTCTTTTTTTTTTTTTTTTGTGAGTTAGAATTTTGTTCTACATCTTTCTCCAGCTCTGTGCAGAACCCTCTGTTGTGATCCCAGTCAGAGAAGTTAGTGGTGGTAGCGCGGCACCATCTAGCTGTACTAGATTCAGTCTGGTGGAGGCCTTGGTAGCTGTGGTCCATTAGTCTTTCGGACTAATCTTTCCCTTGTATCCTGTTCTCTTCACACTCTCTTGCTCCAAAGGGATGAGACCAGTGGAGTATCTTAGATGGCTGCTCACAGACTTTTAAGACCCCAGACGTTACTCACCAAGGTAGAATGTAGAACATTGCCTTTATAAACTGTGTTATGCCAGTTGAGCTAGATGCTCCCCAGGACCATGGTCCCCACAGCCCTTCACCCAGCAATTCAGTCCCTCAGGGAGTTTGGATGTGTCTATGGAGCTTCCATGACCTTTCCTTGTACAAGTTGTGCTGGTTTCCCCAGTATTGTGTACTGTCTCACCCTTCACCTAAGATACCCACTTATCTATTGCCTATTTAGTATTTCCCCCCCACCCCTCCCATCCCTGGTAACCAACAAAGATTGTTACTTTTTGTGTGTGAAGTTTTTCACGGATTTTTACAATAGAGGTTTCATATAATATTTGTCCTTTTATGATTGACTTATTTCACTCAGCATAATGTCCTCCAGTTTCATCCATGTTATGAAGATGTGAATACTTTTAAAGTATCCTCTTCATTTTCAGTGTGTGTGCATGTATTTGGTTTACTTCTCTTTTTTGCCATGGTTCATTCTGCTTGTCTGCAGAGCATTTATTTGTTTCAAAATAAAAGCCAATAGTATAAACAACATTATTCCTTTAAAGATATGCCTTCCAAACAGGCCCTTAGCTAGGAAGAGAGAGCCCAGCCTCTCCAGCTGACTGGTGTAAATTTCAAAGACGTTAGAGTACCTTGAATTATGTTTATGTTGGTTTCAGTGTGCTTGTCTTTTTCTATGAACATACATATTTGACTATAGCACATACTCCTTAAGCACCAAGCATACAGTCAAGAGCAATTTATTACTATTAGGTTACCATAGCCCATTTTTTAATTTTTATCTGCAAGGCCCTCATTTTCTCAAAAATCATAAGAGTCTTGCAATAATTTAACAATATGATTATTAGTCACGTGTGTTTGAAGTTTATTTGGTTTGAGAAAGTAAACTGAGAGTAATCTCATGAGTCTTTGCATGACAGTTTTGGATGGGCTCAGGTCACAATTTTCTTGGGGATTGTTTCCATGCCCCTTAGGGCAAAGTGAAGTGCTTTAGGCCACTTAAGGTTTGTTCTGACAACATTTTATCTAACTTGTTTTCTTTTCTTTATCTGTTTCTTTTTTGACTGCTCGTGTACTCTGGAGATTAAGGGGACAGTATGGAATTTGGAAATTTTAGTGGTTTCTTTTACAACCTTTCTAGGAAAATGAGTGCTTCTATTAATTTACAACTCCTGATGTTGATGGTTAACTTTTGATGTGAATAGAGCTCAATCCATCCACAAAACAAATAATGAGTATTGGAACACTAGTTATGAGTTTAACCACAGGGAACTGAATAAAGGCCACTTGAGGGCTCAGGGAGAGACCAAGAGGGATGAGATACGGGGTAAATTACTTACAAGTTTACTCATGTTTTGGGTTTGGCAGGCAGAACATGTAAAGCAATGATCTTGAATTATTTTGGAAGAATATGGAGCATACCAATCATTTTCTATGGCTGTAATTATGATTTGTTCATATGTGACACTGAGTAAAGAACATGAGGAAGTAATATCTGTTGAACAGTTAGGCAGCCTTTTGGGGAATATCAGATTATTGAGATACCATGGGCAATTCTGCCTTTCCCTGCTGTTATTTTCCAAATTTTGCATCTTCATCTTGTAAAAGTGCCAAATTATTTAAATTTGGAATTAAGAATTTATTAAGATATTAAAACATGTGAGGACTCTGCTTGAGGAGGGGACAGAATGCAGGAACAGGCAAAACATTTCCTTTGGGACCTTTGACAAAGGCTCTGTGAGCCTCACGCTTAACAAAAGCTTAGAAGGCAACTATTACTCTCAAATAATTCTGTGACATAGAGACTTTTTCTGATGGAAGTTCCAGCAGAAATGAAATAAATTTATTATTGCTGACTGTCTTAGTCATCTGGTGCTACCATAGCAGAAATACCACAAGTAGACGGCTTTAACAAAGAGAAATTTATTTTCTCACAGTCTAGTAGGCTGGAAGTCCAAATTTAGGGCATCAAAGGCTTTCTCTCTCTGTCGGCTCTGGAGAAAGATCCTTGTCCTCATTCTTCCCCTAGTTGAGGAGCTTCTCAGGTGCAGGGACTCTAGGTCCAAAGGACACGCTCTGTTCCCTGGTGCTGCTTTCTTGGTGGTATGAGTTTCCCCTGTCTCTCTGCTTGCTTCTCTCTTTTATATCTCAAGAGATTGCCTCAAGACACAATCCAATCTTGTAGATTGAGTCCTGCCTCACTAACACAACTGCCACCCATCCTCCCTCATTAACATCATAGAGGCAGGATTTACAACATACAGGAAAATCACACAATACTGGGAATCATGGCCCAGGCAAATTGATACACACATTTTTGGGGGGACATAATTCAATCCATGACACTGACTTATACCAAAGTCCTGGGCCCAGACAAAGGCATACCCACCAAAAGCCAAATCCACCGCCTTTGAGTTGATTCCAACTCATAGTGACCCTATAGGACAGAGTAGAACTGCCCCATAGGGTTTCCCAACTGTAAATCTTTAAGGGAGCAGACTGCCAAATCTTTCTCCCGTGGAGCAGGCTGGTGGTTTTGAACCGCTGACCTTCCGGTTAACAGTGGAATGCTTAACCACTGCACTATCAGGGATCCAAAGGCATACCAGAAACCATATATATTAACACTTTGGCTAAGTAATAAGCATGGGTGAGAACTACTCTTAGCAGAATGGACAGAAGGGTGTCAGCAATGGTGTCAGCATAGGCTGCAAACAGATGACCCTATGGATCTCTTTGGCAAAAGTCATCAAGGACAGGAACTGCTAAGGTCTAGTGGGATAGGGTGACATAGTCATGGGACTCACCATCTGTGAGAGGACAAAGTAACATAGCAGGATTAAGTGGGGTGCACTGGAAAGTTGTGATATGAGGAACTGCTAGTACAAAGTAGAAGGTTTTCATAGTTAGTCAGTGTCATAGTTTACTGCACAAAATGATATTCACTTGTACGGCACCAATTTATGCACTCTTCACATCCATTTTGCCCCCAACAGTCTCAGCTTCACCTCCTCTTAACACCAGTAGTTGTCCCTGATACCCTTGAGGTCAGCACCGGGATACATCATAGTCTCCGTTATCCCCTTATACCTCAGGTCTAAAGTCCTCAGATCATGTATCCCCAAGACAGACTATAGATCATGCAGCCTATATAACTGAACCCTAAGCTGGACCGTCATGATGGTTGAAGAAAATGAAAGTTTTGTGTTAGTAGTGCCACAACCAAACTTTACATAAAGTAAGCACTTATAGCTTCTTGGTATAGATGTTTCATACTATTTCTTCTTCCTGAAATGTCCCTGTCTTC